ACAGTTGATTAATTTTATTATTTGTTTCTAGACCTCTCTCCAATCCAACGATGTCTTCGAGATTTGATGTACTTGGTTCTAACAACACATGTTCTGGAAATTCAGCCTTTATGATTACTTCTGAACCCCTACTTGGGTGTTCAAATTATTTATCTTGGGTTTCGGCTGTCGAGTTGTGGTGTAAAGGTCAAGATATTCAAGATCACTTGACAAAAAAGGCTAGTGATGGAGATGAAAAGGCCAACGCACAGTGGGCAAAGATCGATACGAATTTATGTAGTATGTTGTGGCGATCTATTGATTCTAGGTTGATGCCTTTGTTTCGTCCATTCCAGGGATATCATTTAGTTTGGGAAAAGGCTCGTAGTTTATACACTAATGACATATCTCGTTTCTATGATGTGATATCGCGGATGACAAATATAAAGAAATAGGAATTAGATATGTCTACTTACTTGGGACAAGTACAGGCAGTTATGGAGGAATTTGAGAAGTTAATGCCAGTTTCTGTTAGTGTTGAAAAGCAACAAGAGCAACGACAAAAGATGTTTCTAGTTCTTACACTCGTTGGACTTCCTAATGACCTTGATTCAGTACGTGACCAGATTTTGGCTAGTCTGATTGTCCCTACAGTTGATGAACTATTCTTTCGATTACTTTGCTTTGCTGCAGCGCCCAATCACATAGTGATCTCACCACAAACAGCTGACTCCTCTGTTCTAGCATCCCAGACAATGGAAAATCGGGTCTCACAGCCTATGGAGAATAGACGAGGAGGTCATTTTGGAAGGTCTCGACCCAAGTGTTCTTATTGTAGTAGGCTTGGACAATCTCGTGAGGTGTGTTACTCTATGCATGGTCGACCACTTAAAAATGCTCATATTGCTCAAACAGAGACTGCAGGTAACCGGAGGTTTTCTTTATCTGAAGGGGAATATAATGAGCTCCTTCAGTATCAAGCAAGTAAGCAGACACCTCCACAAGTAGCCTCTATTGCTCAGACTGATACTTGTGTTACTGGTAAGTCCTTTGCTTGTGTTTCCCGGTCTACTACTCTTGGACCGTGGGTCATGGACTCAGACGCTCACTTTTGTCAAATATTGTTTAGTCACAGTCTTTTCCCAATGTTACTTTAGCCAATGGAGTCCAAAAAAAAGCCAAAGGAGTTGGACAAGCTAATCCCTTATCCTTTGTCACTTTAGATTCTATTCTTTATGTCCCTGATTGTCCTTTTAATCTTGCATATGTTAGTCGGTTAACTCGTGCTCCCCATTGTGGTATATATTTTATTGATGACTCTTTTGTTATGCAGGACCGCAGTACGGGACAGACGATTGGCACTGGGCATGAATCACAAGGCCATTACTACCTTGACTCACTCAATCCTTCCACAACATGTCCAGTTACAGATCCTCCAGATCTAATTCATATACGCTTAGGACATCCAAGTTTATCCAAGCTTCAAAAGATGGTGCCTAGTTTATCTAGTTTGTCTACATTAGATTGTGAATCGTGTCAACTTGGGAAACATACCCGAGCCACCTTTTCGCGTAATGTTGAGAGTCGTGCAAAGTCTGATTTTTCTTTAATTCATTCTGATATATGAGGTCCGAGTAGAGTCAGTTCAACCTGAGAATTTCGTTATTTTGTAAGTTTCATTAATGATTACACAAGATGTACTTGGATTTTCCCAATGAAAGATCGTTCTGAGTTATTTTCTATATTCCAGAGTTTTTGTGTTGAAATAAAAAATCAATTTGGCGTTTCTATTCGCATCTTTCGTAGTGATAATGCCTTAGAAAACTTATCCTCCAATTTCAACAGTTTATGACTTCCCAAGGAATTATTAATCAGACATCTTGTCTGTATAACCCTCAGCAGAATGGGGTAGCAGAGAGAAAGAATAGACACCTCATTGAGACTGCTCGCACACTTCTAATTGAGTCTCATGTTCCACTGCGTTTTTGGGGCGATGTAGTTCTCAGGGCTCGTTATCTGATTAATCGGATGCCTTCATCTTCCATCCATACTAAGATTCCGTATTCAGTATTATTTCCTCAGTCAACTTTATACTTTCTTCCCCCTCATGTGTTTGGGAGCACATGTTTCGTTCATAACTTAGCTCCCGGAAAAGATAAGTTAGCTCCTCAAGCTCTCAAGTGTGTCTTCCTTGGTTATTCTCGAGTTCAAAGGGGATATTGTTGCTTTTCACGTGATCTTCGATACCTAATGTCAGCTGATGTCACATATTTTGAGTCTCCACCTTACTTTACCTCTTCTAATCATCTTGGTATATCAGAATTCTTACCTATATCGACTCTTGAGGAGTTTACTATAACTCCTTCTACATCTTCCCCACAGAAGTCTTACCCATACCGACCATTGTGGAATCTAGTGTTGCTACTCCTAGATCCCAGCCACAGGAACAACACTTTTGACTTACCATTGTCGTCTGTGTCCGTCCTGCACCTAATCCTTCTCCTACTGCGGACTCGTCTCCTCCAAGTCCATCGATTGCACTTCGGAAAGGTACACGGACCACACTTAATTCTAATCCCCATTATGCCGGTTTAAGTTATCATCGTCTGTCATCACCCCATTATGCTTTGTATCTTCTTTGTCCTCTGTTTCCATTTCTAAGTCTACAGATGAAGCATTGTCTCATCCACGATGGCAACAGGCTATGATTGACGAGGTGTCTACTTTACATACGAGTGGTACTTGAGAGCTTGCTCCTCTTCCTTCAGGTAAATCTACGATTGGTTGTCGTTGAATTTATGTAGTCGAGGTTGGTTCAGATAACCAGGTTGATCGACTTGAGGGTCGTCTTGTTGCCAAAGAATATACTCAGATATTTGGGCTCGATTAAAGTGATATTTTCTCTAGTGTGGCTAAAATAGCATCAGTTCGCCTTTTTCTATCCATGGCTGCTGTTCACCATTGGCCTCTATCAATTGTACATTAAGAATGTTTTTCTTCACAGTGATCTTAGGATGAAGTTTATATGGAGCAACCACCTGATTTTGTTGCTCGGGGGAAGTCTATTGGCCTTGTATGCCGCTTGCGCCGGTCACTTTATGGTCTAAAGCAGTCTTCTCGAGCGTGGTTTTGTAACTTCAGCACTGTTATTCAAGAATTTGGCAGGACTCATAGTGAAGCTGATCACTTTGTATTTTATTGGCATTCTGCCTCAAATCTCTATATTTATCGGGTGGCTTATGTTGATGATATTGTTATTACCGGCAATGATCAGGATGGTATTACTAGGTTGAAGCAACATCTCTTTCAACACTTTCAGACTAAGGATCTGGGCAGATTAAAGTATTTTCTGGTATTACTAGGTTGAAGCAACATCTCTTTCAACACTTTCAGACTAAGGATCTGGGCAGATTAAAGTATTTTCTGGTATTGAGGTCGCTCAATTTAGCTCAGGTATTGTGATCTCACAAAGGAAGTATGCCTTAGACATTTTTTAGGAGACAGGAATGACAGGTTGTAAACATGTTGACGCTCCAATGGATCTGAATTCTGAACTTCTACCAGGACAGGGGGAGCCGCTTAGCGATCCTGCAAATATAGGTGGCTGGTTGGTAAATTAAATTACCTCATTGTGACTAGACCAAACATTTCCTTTCATGTGAGTGTTGTAAGTCGGTTTATGGATTCTCCCTGTGATAGTCGTTGAGATGCAGTCGTCTGCATTCTTCGGTATATAAAGTCAGCTCCAGACAAAGGGTTATTATTTGAGGATCGAGGCCATGAGCAAATCATTGGATACTCAAATGTTGATTGGGCAACGTCTGGATATTGTGTTTTAGTAGGAGGTAATTTAGTGTCGTAGAAGAGCAGGAAACAGAATGTGGTTGCTCGGTCTAGTGCAGAAGCAGAATATCGAGCAATGGCTATGGCAACATGTGAGATAGTCTGGATCGAACAGTTGCTTAAGGAGTTGAAATTTGGTGAAATTGGCCAAATGGAATTTGTGTGTGATAATTAAGCTACCCTTCATATTGCATCAAATCAGGTGTTCCATGAGAGAACTAAACACATTGAGATTGACTGTCACTTCGTCAAAGAAAAGATACTCTCAGGAGATATTACTACAAAGTTTGTGAAGTCGAATGTTCAGATTGCAGATATTTTCACCAAGTCCCTCACTGGTCCTCGTATTAGTTACATGTGTAACAAGCTCGGTACATATGATTTGTATGCACCAGCTTGGAGTGATAGATAGTTATGTGTAAATAATCCTAGTACCATATGTAGTAAGAGTAGAATATGTATTATATATAGGGCTCATTGTATCATTGTTAATACATCAATAATATTTTTTCCGTGTATTATTTCTCACACCACATATCTTCCATACTTCTTTAAGGAGGAAGAAGCAAAGAAATATAGTATAAGATAATGATCTACTTCTTCTCAAATTCCTGGAGCTTTCAAACATGGAGGATTAAGTAGTTTCCTACAGTTATTAGAAGAAGCTATATGGTTAGCAGTTTGTTATGGTCACTAGAAGTTATCTATATTTATCCTAACTTGGTCATGGAGTAGTTATGGTCAACCTATTATATAAATAATAGATCTAGTAATGTGTTGTGTGGTAATTATCCTTTATATGCAGACTGATTGTTCTGTGAGATACGAGATGCTTGTATCTCTCTATGATAAATAATATCAGTGTATTTTCTCTCTCTTTTCCATTATTAAATCTTTGCTCCTATCACGTCTCACACTTTGGTTAGAGCTTTCATATTTACATTTTTAGGATGGAGTAAAATTTTCTCAAAAAAGAGATGTTTGCTTAAGACCCGAAACGATCTCCTGGGTTTTCTGTCATTCCGGTATCATACACACATCGGAGACTCTATACTAACTAAACAAAAGGCCCGAACAAAGAATGTAAGTCCCACTGGTAGGAAAATCCAGTCATAAATCTAGGGCAAAAATAACTAATAGAAAAGATTGCGGTCATAAAGCTAGTTAAAAAATCATACCTTCCAGATTTTGAAAAATGTCCTGCACCCATTTCACATTTGAGCAAGAGTAAATTATCATCCGTCTTCATATCTCTCAACTTGGCTACAAACTTGGCTGGCTCAGAGTACATAACACGTGGATCTGTCACAATTTCAGACCTCATGTTAAATCAAAAGTAGAAATATCTACACAAGTGACTGAAGATTAATCCTTTATTTCATGGTTATTCCACAAAATTTGTGTTATGGTAGATATAAGCCAATATATATCAGTCTGATCTGATCCATTTCTGATTGCATCCATATTTATAGCCAAGCTTCCTTAGTCCCTATAAAAGACAAGTACATACTTACGGACTATAAGAAACTTACTCTGGAACTAGGAATTCTCCATATCTCATTCTTTTCCTTACACTGACATACAAGTCTACACCTAAAGACACCTGACATACACTGAATCTATGTAGATGTACCAACGACAAACCAACCTTAATCCCAATTAGTTGGTTTTACCTATGGATACTTTGCTTTCACGTACTCCATTCTTCCCTGAGTTCCTCATGGATTGTTACTAAGAAATTATAAACAATGTCCCTCATATGATTTTACGACTACCTCATTGAATTTTAATACTACTAATTATCAGTGTCACACACACAACAAATGACTGACGCATTCAGATGTCCGCATAGGACATAACAAAACCATCTAATGCGACCTATTATTGTATATCCTATACGTACTACCTTAGACCTTCTATTAGATGTGTTCATCTCTATTATTGTGTGATCTTGTATGATATCCTAGCAGGCATTCCTATGATACTCGCTGTGCAGATATGTTGAGCCTCAAATTTCTACACAGCTCATATTGTAGATACATTCGGCCTTAGAGGTCCAACATTCCATGTAACATCACTGTCTAACAACTCTTAATGGAGCCAACTCCATCCACAATTCAAAAGCATGATAGAGGAAATGAACATCACTAAAGCCTTCTTCCCCATTCCCATACACTTTTCCCCTTTCTATCATATAGCTTCAAAACTGTGAACTGCTGCGCGGGCTTGCTTTGCACTTACCATTCAAACCAGCTGTAACGAGAATGTCCGGATAGTTCTGTGCTTTGACCTGTGAGAATAAAAAGGACAAAAGAAAAAGCCAAAGACAAGTTGAGTTGACAACATAAGAAACTAAAGTGTACTTTCCTGATTGACTTGCTCAATGCACGAACCTTAAAGTATTCTCTTGGGAGGGTGTATATATTACTTACATTATCAACAGGGGAATATGACTTTATATAGGAATAGAATTCTTCCTTACGTGGATCACCCCATTCCTGTGGCAAATGAAGAGATTAAATGTCAATCACAAACTTCAAGATAATCAATCTTCCAAGTGCTTCAAATGTTAATTAGAGCCAAGGCATCATAATTCGATTCTCCCAACTCCTCAAACACACCTTAAGCACATTTGGATCTCACAACTCCTTAAACACATTTGGATCCATGTTATTGTAAAAATTTACTACTACAATTAACAGTTTCGCCACGGGGAAAACATGAAACATAAGTCCCAATGCCTCCACCAAAGTGCACTCTCAGATACAATGTCGTTAACACATCCTCATAGTTATCATCTAAATAAATTTCAGATGGAGAATCCACACCAATGAACGTCATGCCACTTAATATTTTTCAATAAGTTAGACAAACAGATTTTTAAGTAGAGATCTAACCTCCCACTCTGAAGTTGTTAATGGAATAGTTGGATCAAGCATTGTAGTTACAACATCTACAAAAGGAACCCCAGCAACAGCGGCTTTAAACAAATCAGGCCGCATATTAACAACAGCACCGATCAGCAATCCACCTGCACTTCTTCCATTGATACAAAGTTTTTCCTTGGAACAGTACTTCTTGTCTATTAAATACTCCGCACACGCAATGAAATCTGTGAAGGTATTTTTCTTTTTTAACAGTTTCCCATTTTCATACCATTGCCTCCCCATTTCACCACCTCCACGAATGTGAGCAATAGCATAAATGAAACCCCTGTCTAACAAAGACAACCGTGACGCCTTGAAAGTGGGATCAATACATATCTGTTAGGAATATGACATTTGCAGCGTCAGTGAAGAATGGTCAAGCTAAAAGTATTAAACAGCAAATTAAGGGCTATAACCTTGCAGAAAAAACAAGAAAGAACAAATCTTCAGGAATTCGAATTCCATATTTGACAAACAGCAGAATTTACATCAATTCAATTAGAAAGCCATGAACTGTTGGTGAACTTTCATTTATACCGAGGACGATATGTCTGCTTTTCTTGTACTCTATTTTAAAGAAGGAAAAAACGAAAGTTTTTGTTCGATAGTATAACAAAGACTTCACATTAAAACCACACGTGAATACCCATAGGCTACATAATCAAGCCATTCTTTAAAAAATTGACATTTTGACTCCTAAATTCATGTGTGCATTGTATTATCAATCTTTTCATATAACAACATTGCATTTTTTACCTGAAATATTTTTCTGCAAAGAGTAGCCTGCTCAAACTTTTGCTCCATTTATACAATGCTCATCCGTACAAAAAGTAATATGATACACAACTTCTCCATCTAAGATCGGCGAAATTCCATAAATGCCAATGTTCAGAAAAAATCAAACACGACTAAGTGCAGTTAACCTAACACGACAAAGAAATATTGACTTTCTTCATTCAAATAAACAAAAAACTGAAGAAAAAAGGAAAAACGTACAGTAGTACTCCACATTTAGTTACACAATAATATATTAAATATTCTTTAATGGATGAAAATGGAAAATTTCTTAATCCCAATCCATGTCGTAACATTATTTAACTGTATTAGCAATTAATCACCTCGTAGGATCCATAACCATAAAGAAGCAATGGATCTGAGCCATCAAGCTTTACAAGATCTTTTCGATAGATTATTGATATAGGTATCTGTATGCCATCTGAAGCAGTAGCCCATTGCCTCTCAGTTACATAATTTGATGCATCAAAGCCTCCCAGTACCTAAATAAGAGAGTGAAATGAACCATTACAACTAATAACGAAATTTCAATAACCATTAGTTGATGATCAAAAAAAGTGAAAAAGTTCCAAAAACGCAAATAACCAAAAGAGCTTACATAAGACTGCTATATCTCTCATATTCCAAGTAAGATATTTCAAAGAGATGACCAAAAAGTTCTATTTTTAAAGATGATCAAAATGTTCTGAACATCAGAAGCATGTAATATGCATGCAAATACTTCTAATCACATCAGTAAGCAACCAAAAATAAGCTAAAAGAATGAAAATTTCAAAAACTTTTATGACATAAAATCGGAGTGAGAACACAGAATATACGTGTGTATCTATTTCTACGTATTAAAAAAAGTAACAATTTCCAAGGCAAGGAGATGATTTCTGAAAAGTACTACTCCCTCTGTCCCAATTTATGTATCATACTTTCCTTTTTAGTCTGTCTCAGAAAGAATGTCATACTTCCTTATTAAGAAACATTTTAATTTTGAAATTCCTACTTTACCCTTAATGAGATAATTTATAGCCACATGTATATTTATGGTTTGCTTTAGACCACACGTTTCAAAAGTCCTCCTTTCTTTCTTAATCTCTATGTTAAGTCAAACACTGCCACATAAATTGAGAAGAAGGGAGTATCACTTTTCTGATGCAATCTTTCAATTTGATGCACAGGGCCTTTGCTTATCTGAAACCATAAACGGTTTCTTTAGTCGCACTTTACTCTTAACTCATTTTGATGAGGGCATTAGAGCAATTTTTTAGATCAAATTCAGAAGCTCGGCCTATAGGCTCATTTTTGGACTATTTTGCTACGTTTTTCTTACATAAATCCTTGTACAATATTTCACCACTCAGTGTCCATGGCAAATACAATCTTTTATTTGATCATACTCGAAACAACTGGAATTTCCAAGAGTAAAAGCATCAAGAGCTACAAATGTTGGGCAGTCATTCAGGTCTTTTCTTTACGCAGATGTCTCAAAACATTTAAAAAGAAAAAAAGAAAAACTATGAAAAATGGAACTGTATGCAGAAAAAGAAGAAGAGAACATAACATAGCAGCAAAGTGCAAGAATGTCCTGCAACTTGAGCATCTAGAGCATGAATTACGAGACCACAAAAGATTAAGGTGATTATGCTTCAGTGGAGAACGTAAAGGATTCTAAAACCTCAGCTAGAACGAAACATAGGTAGATTTTTTGTGAATCCAAGAAAGAGTGAAATTGGAAAAAGTAAGACAACAGGAACAAACATACCACTTCCTTATCATTATGTGCCTGCCATTATCTGTCCAATCTCTAATGAAAAATTGTTTTACTGGAGATATTCTGCCAAGTTAGTATTATACTCAAACAAGGCATTGTTTCATAGTGAATCACCATGTTGTCTAATCTCATTAGCTTTAACGGACTTTTTCTTCGATAAAGTAATATATTTTATCAATGTTTGAGCAAAAACATGCTCGTATACAAGAAGTATACCAAAAAGTAGAAAACCAACAAAAAGAGATGGTTTCCTATAAACGACACCCTATCTCCTAAACATAAAAGAACCTTATGGGTGCACCAAAAGGAAATAAGAGATAAAATACTACTCCTTATATGAACAAAGTTCATCTCTACACCCTCAAAAGCACTCTGATTTCGTTCCCTCCAAACTAACCACAGAAGAGCTAACAGTGCAAAACTCCATGCATGCATCTTCTCCTACTACCATAACTCCAACTGAACATTACCTCTTTCATCATGCCTCGAATCACCCAAAATATACCAAATCAGCCTATAGGCTCCTTTTGGACTATTTTGCTACGTTTTTCTTAAATAGATCCGCGTACAGTATTTCACCACTCAGTGTCCATGGCAAATACAATCTTTTATTTGATCATACTTGAAACAATTGGAATTTCCAAGAGTAAAAGCATCAAGAGCCACAAATGTTGGGCAGTCATTCAGGTCTTTTCTTTAAGCAGATGTCTCAAAACATTTAAAAAGAAAAAAAGAAAAACTATGAAAAATGGAACTGTATGCGGAAAAAGAAGAAGAGAACATAACATAGCAGCAAAATGCAAGAGTGTCCTGCAACTTGAGCATATAAAGCAAGAATTACTAGAGACCACAAAAGATTAAGGTGATTATGCTTCAGTGGAGAACGTAAAGGATTCTAAAACCTCAGCTAGAACGAAACATAAGTTTGTGAATCCAAGAAAGAGTGAAATTGGAAAAAGTAAGACAACAAGAACAAACATACCACTTCCTTATCATTATGTGCTTGCCATTATCTGTCCAATCTCTAATGAAAAATTGCTTTACTGGAGATATTCTGCCAAGTAAGTATTATACTCAAACAAGGCATTGTTTCATAGTGAATCACCATGTTGTCTAATCTCATTAGCTTTAACAGACTTTTTCTTGGATAAAGTAATAAATTTTATCAATATTTGAGCAAAAGTGTTCGTATACAAGAAGTATATCAAAAAGTAGAAAACCAACAAAAAGAGATGGTTTCCTACGAACGACACCCAATCTCCTAAACATAAAAGAACCTTATGGGTGCACCAAAAGGAAATAAGAGATAAAATACTACTCCTTATCTGAACAAAGTTCATCTCTACACCCTCAAAAGCTCTCTGATTTCGTTCCCTCCAAACTAACCACAGAAGAGCTAACAGTGCAAAACTCCATGCATGCATCTTCTCTTACTACCATAACTCCAACTGACCATTACCTCTTTCATCGTGCCTCGAATCATCCAAAATATACCAAATCAGCCTATAGGCTCCTTTTTGGACTATTTTGCTACGTTTTTCTTAAATAGATCCGTGTACAGTATTTCACCACTCAGTGTCCATGGAAAATACAATCTTTTATTTGATCATACTCGAAACAATTGGAATTTTCAAGAGTAAAAGCATCACGAGCTACATATGTTGGGCAGTCATTCAGGTCTTTTCTCTAAGCAGATGTCTCAAAACTTTTAAAAGGAAAAAAAGAAAAACTATGAAAAATAAAGCTGTATGCAGAAAAAGAAGAAGAGAGCATAACATAGCAGCAAAGTGCAAGAGTGTCCTGCAACTTAAGCATCTAAAGCACGAATTACGAGAAAACAAAAGATTAAGGTGATTATGCTTCAGTGGAGAACGTAAAGGATTCTAAACCTCAGCTAGAACGAAACATAGATAGATTTTTTGTGAATCCAAGAAAGAGTGAAACTGGAAAAGGTAAGACAACAGGAACAAACATACCACTTGAAAAATTGCTTTACTGGAGATATTCTGCCAAGTTAGTATTATACTCAAACAAGGCATTGTTTCATAGTGAATCACCATGTTGTCTAATCTCATTAGCTTTAACAGACTTTTTTTCGATAAAGTAATAAATTTTATCAATATTTGAGCAAAAACATGCTTGTATACAAGAAGTATACCAAAAAGTAGAAAACCAACAAAAAGAGATGGTTTCCTACGAACGACACCCTATCTCCTAAACATAAAAGAACCTTATGGGTGCACCAAAAGGAAATAAGAGATAAAATACTACTCCTTGTCTGAACAAAGTTCATCTCTACACCCTCAAAAGCTCTCTAATTTCGTTCCCTCAAAACTAACCACAGAAGAGCTAACGGTGCACAACTCCATGCATGCATCTTCTCCTACTACCATAACTCCAACTGACCATTACCTCTTTCATTGTGCCTCGAATCACCCAAAATATACCAAATCATGTAAGAATTTCCCATCATAATCTCGATGCCACCTAGGGGTGGGCATAAAATTCGAAAATAACTCCGAACCGGACCGAACTAATTCGATATTTCGGTATCGGTTTATTCGGTATTTCGGTATAATTCGGTATTAATTTTTCGGTTATTCGGTATTCGGTAAGGTCCTCGATATTGAGGTTCTGATATTTCAATATACCGAAATACTAAATTATTTAAGTATACCTGTGCTTCCTAGTCCTACACTGCCCAACCCAAAATTTTATCTTTGTCTTTCTTGGCCCAAAATTTCAACTTTGTTATCCCTAACCCAATAAGACTAAGCTCAACGCCCAACGCCCGAACTTTGCCCAGCCCAAAATTTTAACTCTTTCCTTTGTTTCTAATAACGATAGGAATTAGGAATAAGGATCTAGGTTTCTCTCAAAAAACAACCATCGTCTGCGTGTTGTGACTGCCGAGTGCCGACTGTGCGAGTGTGATAGAGATGGTGACTTCACGACCTCGATGCCAATGACTCTCTCCTCTGTGACTACTTGTTTCCTCATTTTTTACCTTCATTCTTCATTCTTCAAGTCTTCAACAGGTTCACAACTTCTTCATTCTTCAATCTTCAGTTTTCATCATTGAATCAATTTAGCATTTGTTTTTCGATGTCGTGCAAAACTTTGGTTGATGCGTCTTTGTATGATGTTGTAATGTTTGTCTTTTGGCTCAAACTTTCGGATGTGTAAGATTGTAATGTTTCATCATTGAAGATGTTCCATTGATAGTTTTTCTGTTTTGAATAAAGAAAAGTCGAAAATAGAACAGAGCCAATAAGTATTGTGTGGAAGAGTCTTAAAAACATCTTCCTATTGTTTTGGCTTTTGTGTGTGTGAGTTCGCATTATTTATATTTCTGGTGCCTTCATCAACTTGCTCTATCCTATATATTTGGATTTTGAAGAAAGAACTTTTACATGATTTGAACTTTGAACATGAAGAGGAAGTAAATGGCTCAGGATCGAAGTTGCAATTCAGTGGTTGCAAATTCACCTTGGACCATTTAGGACATAGTTTTATTTCAATTATCAGTTTACCTTCCCTTCTTTGCTATTCATGGTCCATTTCATTCAAAAAGTGACAATAATAAATAGAATATGAGCTTTGTGAGAATGCACGGGAGAAAAATCTTATTGATCTTCAATTTAATTATAATACAATGTGCCTTATTTATACAATACATATCATACTCCTATTCTATGTGGGACTAGGACTAATTCATATTATTTACATAACTATCTAACACTCCCCCCTCAAGCCGGTGCATACAAATCATATGTACCGAGCTTGTTACATATGTAACTAATACGAGTACCAGTAAGGGACTTGGTGAAAATATCTGCAAGCCGATCGTTCGACTTCACAAACTTTGTAGCAATATCTCCTGAGAGTATCTTTTCTCTGACGAAGTGACAGTCAATCTCAATGTGTTTAGTTCTCTCATGGAATACCGGATTTGATGCAATATGAAGGGTAGCTTGATTATCACAAACAAGTTTCATCTTGCTGATCTCACCAAATTTCAACTCATTAAGCAAATGTTTGATCCAAACTAGCTCCCATGTTGCCACAGCCATTGCTCGATATTCTGCTTCTGCACAAAACCGAGCAACCACATTCTGTTTCTTGCTCTTCCAAGACACCAAATTACCTCCTACTAAAACACAATATCCAGACGTAGAACGTCTATCAAAAGGTGATCCTGCCCAGTCAGCATCTGAGTACCCAACAATTTGCTCATGACCTCGATCTTCAAACAATAATCCTTTGCCTGGAGCTGATTTTATATATCGAAGAATACGAACAACTGCATCTCAATGACTATCACAAGGAGAATCCAGGAACTGACTTACTACACTCATAGAAAAGGAAATGCCAGGTCTAGTCACTGTGAGGTAATTTAATTTACCAACCAGCCGCTTATATCTTGCAGGATCGCTAAGCGGCTCCCCCTGTCCTGGTAGAAGTTTAGAATTCGGATCCATAAGAGTGTCAACAGGCCTACAACCTGTCATTCTTGTCTCCTGAAGAATGTCTAAGGCATACTTCCGTTGTGAGATTACAATACCTGAGCTAGACTGAGCAACCTCAATACCTAGAAAATATTTTAATCTGCCCAGATCCTTAGTCTGAAAGTGCTTAAAGAGATGTTGCTTCAACTTAGCAATACCATCCCGCTCATTGCCGGTAATAACAATATCATCAACACAAACCACCAGATAAATATTGAGATTTGAAGCAGAATGCCGATAAAACACAGAGCGACCAACTTCACTACGAGTCATGCCAAACTCTTGAATAACTGTACTGAACTTACCAAACTAGGCTCGAGGAGACTGCTTTAGACCATAGAGGGACCGGCGCAATCGACATACAAGGCCACTAGACTCCCCCTGAGCAACAAAACCAGGTGGTTGCTCCATATAAACCTCATCCTCAAGGTCACCATGGAGAAAAGCATTCTTAATGTCCAACTGATAAAGAGGCCAATGGCGAACATTAGAAATGGATAGAAAAAGGCGGATTGATGCTATTTTAGCCATGGGAGAGAAAGTATCACTGTAATCGAGCCCAAAAATCTGAGTATACCCTTTGGCAACAAGATGAGCCTTAAATCGATCAACCAGGCCATCTGGACCCACTTTGACTACATACACCCAACGACAACCAACAGTCGATTTACCCGAAGGAAGAGGAACAAGCTCTCAAGTACCACTCATATGTAAAGCAGACATCTCGTCAATCATAGCTTGTCGCCAACCTGGATGAGACAGTGCTTCACCTGTAGACTTAGGGATGGAAACAGAGGACAAAGATGATACAAATGCACAATGGGGTGATGACATACGATAGTAACTTAAACCGACATAATGGGGACTAGGATTAAGTGTGGACCGTATACCTTTCCGTAGTGCAATCGGTTGACTAAGAGGAGAAAGGTCCGCAGTATTAGCAGGGTCAGGTGCAGGACGTGAATCAGTTGGGCCTGATGCTGGGCGCGGATGACGATGATAAGTCAGGAGTGGTGGAACTGTAGAATGTTGAACTGGACTAGGTGGCGAAACTGGAGCTATAGGTGGTGGAGCTGCAACTGGAGCTGTAGGCGGTGAAGCTGGAGTTATAGAGGAAGATGAATGGGAGATAGTGACTAAATCTCCAAAAGATGGAACTGGTAGCACCTCAGAAATATCTAAGTGATTACCTGAACCTGTGAAGTATGATTGGGTTTCAAAGAAGGTAACATCAGCAGACATAAGGTATCGCTGAAGGTTAGGAGAATAGTATCGATATCCCTTTTGCGTTATCGAGTAACCCAAACATATGCCCTTAAAAGCACGAGGAGCTAACTTATCTTTTCCTGGAATAAGGTTATGAACAAAACACGTGCTCCCAAAGACACATGGTGGAAGAGAGAACAAAGGTAAGTGGGGAAACAAGACAGAGAATGGAACTTGATTCTGGATGGCTGAAGATGGCATACGATTAATAAGATAACAAGATGTAAGAACTGCATCCCCCCAAAAACGCAACGGAACATGAGATTGTATGAGTAGGGTACGAGCTGTTTCAATAAGATGTCTATTATTTCTTTCAGCTACCCCATTTTGTTGGGATGTGTACAGACAAGATGTTTGATGAATAATCCCA